TAACTGAATATTCACAATTTTTCAAATGTTAACTGAGCTTCTACCGTGTGCCAGGCATTCTAGGGGCTAAGGACACATCAGTGAACAAATCAGACATAAATCCCTGCTGTTGTGGGGCTTAGGTCTAGTTCATGAAGAGAGAGAATAAACATAGTACAAACCTATGCTATGGAAAAAATGGAGTAGGATTAAAGATTGGGAGTATTAATTTATAAAATATTTTCTCATGTTTCTATCACCTTCCCATGTTCTTAGTAGNAAGACAAAAAGGAAAAAAAAAAAAAAAAACAAGATGATCAGTAAGGGGATCTTAACCCTTGACTTGGTGTTGTCAGCACCAGGCTATCCCAAGTGAGCTAACCGGCCATCCCTATATAGGAATCCGAACCTGTGGCTGAACCTGTGGTGGCCAGCACCACACTCTCTCCCAAGTGAGCCACAGGCCAGCCCCGGGGCTAAGTTTTTAATTCATAAAACTTGGAGACCACAATTCAGGCTTCAAGGAGTTTTGGGGGGACATAATTCATTTCATTACAATTAGTAACATTTATTTATTTAAGAGTTTACCAAACATTTGAACTTTACCAAACTTTTGCATATTAGGTTTAACTGTATGTAATTGCTGTTTTTTTATGGCCAAAGGCAGTTTGAAATTGGCAATTCCATATGTTCCACCTATTGTTTTTGTCAGTCCTCACAATAACACAGTGAATTAGGTGGTGGTTGTACCTATTTTATAAATGAGTAGTGTAGTATTTTAGATGGAGCTTGGACACTGGGGGATTTAGTTAATTTTTACAGAAAGATAGGAAGAAAAGAGTGGGGGGTGGTTGGAAGAAAGGAAGGTAGAGTGGTTTAGCAGCTGCTGAGACCTGGAGTAGAATCCTGGCTTCACCTCCTGGTAGCTTTGTGACCTCCAGCAAATCCTTGAACTTTGTGTCTCTCAGTTTTCTCATTTGAAAACAGGGAGTAATAAAATCTCTTTCATAATGTTGTGGAAGGATTGGATTATAAGTGGGTGGAAATCATTTTTTATAATACTGGCAGACACTAAGCAACTCATTAGAGTTGCTGGTGGTAATAGATCCTTCGGTCAGTATATTTCAAACCAAATCCTTTTCTCCCTCTTCTAACCATAGTATTTCTATAAAACACACAAAAAATATTTTAAAAATGCCACTGGTAAATTAATGACCCTGGACACAATTAGGGATTCTTTCCCTACAGGTAAAGCTTTCATCGAACTCTGGTGGTGTGCTGTGTGAGTGGGTGGAACCGTGGAGATGCACCAACTTCTGTTTGGGTTTCAGGGTAATCGTGGGGCGAACCTCCTAAATGGATAGTGCACCCAGCCATTCTTCTCCCTTCCATTCCTCTGGTGCCTGCCGTCTCTGATTTTATGGCATCTTGTCCTCTCCTTCAGGTGACTCCCCCCCTCCTGTGTCCTTCCTGGTGGAGGGGATGTGATTGTCAGAGCGGAAAATGCTGCGTGGGTAGTCCTTTGTGCTGCTGGACCACATGATGGGCTGAAAGAGCTGCTTGTGGGAAAGGGCTGCCATCCTGAGCACACCCTCTTGGATTTTTCTGCAGCCAGCGAGTCTGTCCAAGGAGCAGTGGGCCTTGGGCTGCAAACTGCTTCAACATCAGTAAACCCCTGGACCAGCCTATCTCTCTTAGGAAAAACCTCGCCTCGGGGTAGGGCTTGAGAGGGAGCAGTGAAGGCGTGAAGAAAGTATTTTCCTCTTTTTCCCATTAAACTCTTGGCAAGAAAGCATGTTCTTCATTCCTGTCACCTGGATCAGCAGCAAGTTCCCAAGGTGAACCTCAAGGCATCATCCTTGCTCCGTCATACTTCACCTTTTCTGGCTGCAAACAATTTTGCTTCTCTAGTTGAGGGAGCCTCTAATAACTGAAGGTGGTGAATAGGTGGTGGGGAGTATGATTTTGTAGAAATACAGCTCTAAATAAAAACACAGGGGAAAAACAGGAAGCTTGTCAAAAGGGAAGAGCTATAATAAAGCATTTTACCTTTATTGACATTGAGGAAACCTCCCCTTTAGCTCAACACTTGATTTGTAAAATACTACATGGTATAGCTATATGGTGGAGTATTATATAGCCTTTAACAATGATGTAGCTGAAGTACCTTTATTAAGGAAGCGTGATTAAGATATATGGTGAAGATGAAACACAGCAGATTATAATTCAATACATGAACCATTTTTATAAAAATACATGTTATCTTTATATAAACATAGGTATAGATACAGAAAAAACATTTGGAATGGTATCCACATGGTGTAGGTGGTTGGATCATGAGTGTTTATATTTTCTTCCTTTTGCTCATATGTATTTTCAAATTTTTGCTGCAATCGACACGTTTTACTCATGTAATCAGGGTGAAAAAAGGTGTAGGGGGCTGGGGCACCTCATTTACTGCCCAGGTCCTCCCTTTTTACCCAGTTGTTCAGCATATTACAGGAGGGTCTCCAGGGACTGGGCACCTTGGCAGAGATTGCANATTTTTATAAAAATACATGTTATCTTTATATAAACATAGGTATAGATACAGAAAAAACATTTGGAATGGTATCCACATGGTGTAGGTGGTTGGATCATGAGTGTTTATATTTTCTTCCTTTTGCTCATATGTATTTTCAAATTTTTGCTGCAATCGACACGTTTTACTCATGTAATCAGGGTGAAAAAAGGTGTAGGGGGCTGGGGCACCTCATTTACTGCCCAGGTCCTCCCTTTTTACCCAGTTGTTCAGCATATTACAGGAGGGTCTCCAGGGACTGGGCACCTTGGCAGAGATTGCAGTGCACACAGCAGCCCCATCTCTGCCTTCACAGAGCTGACATTTTAGTGAGAGGTTTGTTTTTTACTTTTTAATTTTTAGGTTTTTTAAAAAAATTTTTTAAAGATGACCGGTAATGGGCCGGCCCGGGTGGCGCACTGGATAGTGCGCCGCTTGGGAAGCGCGGCGGCGCTCCCGCCGAGGGTTCGGATCCCACATACAGACCGGTTCCCGCTCACTGGCTGAGCGAGGCACGGGAGCAAGGCCGAGGCTTGCGATCCCGTTGCCGGTCCCCGGTCCGGTACGGGGGCAACACTGAGGGTTGCGATCCCTTGCTGGACACGGAAAAAAG